ATCAGACGCCAAAGTCATGAGCGGCACCAACATTTTTCATCTGGAATGTACAATGATTTGATGCCTAGAACAAAGATGTCCGGAGCATTACAGCATCCAGTACATCAGGAGAAATTCCTGCGGAGCTGGGTGAAGGAAACCCAAGCTGTGCTGGAACAGAATATTGTTCTGCTTGGAAGAACATTTGTACCTTCAACTGGTGAACCAAGGGAATGGTTATAGCCCTGGAAAACCAATCAATGGGGTCAACATGGAGTTAAGAAGAGGACCTCGTCGTCCTTCTGCTCCAGTTGATTAAGTACCCGAGGGATAAGAGGAAGACGACAGGAAGGTGTATATAAGTAGCCTGTCCGCCTTCCTCACCATCGTATTCGTGTGCCATGTGTAGGGGTCAGGAATCCTCATTCATTAGCCTGGAAATCTGTGACTAGTTCATGAAACAAGTCAGATTGACATGTGGTTAGTTGTCCTTGCTTGGGAGGAGGACCGTTGAAAGCAAGAAGCTATGAGGAAAAAACCCCAATGGGGTATTTCTCAAGTGAGTGTACACAGGTGTGCAGGCTGCCTGCCCACCTGGTCGTCGATGTAAACTACAACTGTGTCAAAGTCACATTTAACCAGGATCATCTGGCACAACACCGAATATAGAAGTAATATCGCAGTTTCTCCGAGACTGCCAGCATCTCAAGTATGTTAATGGAACTTGAATGATGCTCACACAGGGCCTCACCAATCCGCCACTAGATGCGTGTGGTGGGAAGTTAACTGGCAGGGTAACATGTCCGCCATGACAGTTAATGAATTAGGCTGCAATCTGTGAGAGGCCCACCCTTGTGAGGTTGGCAACGCCGAACCACAGGAGGTACTGCACAAGTCAGGTCATGGCCTGCACTGAATGCAGTGAGGACTGGGCCGATACAAGCAAATAGGTGAATGCCACCAATCTTTGTTTCCACGGCGCAGTCATATCGCCTTTACTATCTGAGCAGAGGCCAGGAGTGAGGCGGAAAAAAGGCTGGATGGAGACCCCATGAAGTTGCAGCGAGAATCTTGGTTTGAAAACCGCGAAATTTTCAGTGCTCTGGCCTGAAAATGAGTTGCAGTTGTGTACCCTTCAGGCCAGGGCTCATTTGCTATGCTGATGTGTTAGACAGTCGACTAAATCTTATCAACATCTTTCCAAGGGAAATACAAGACGGGCGCAACACTGTGCTGGCCCGATGGTATTGATGTCAGCCTCAAAGTCTCTCTGACGAGCTCCTACGAGACAGATGGGTGGAGGTCGTCATGAGTCAGGTAGGTCACTTATGGAAATCATCAAAACAACTGAAGCCGAATCGAAATCGCTGTTACATTATCCTATGTGGCATGGCGTACAGAAAATGTTGCTAGCATAGCCACACAAAATCATCTGGGCAAACTTCAAGAGGTATGCAGTTGAGAAAACAAACAACTGTTTGTTCTTCACCTGCGCTGGCCCACATGTAGTTGACATCGACCAATATGGATGTAAACATCGATATCCACAGCAAAAGAAAAGATCTTTGTCCGTTAAAAACTTAAAAGGTGGGACTCGAATCTTTGGCGGGCGCCCTTTGACGGGAGAAACAGTTCATCAATCATGTTACCCCGGCGGGCCAAGATTGCTAGGGTCTGCACTCGAGTAAAATTATAGAGTACCGAGTGCAGACCGTGAAATTGATAAAGAAAATAGCGGTCAACACGTCCGCTAAGACTGTCGAGTCAAGATTAAAACATTAAACCTAATGTACTTCATGAGGGTAAAGAGGGAGGCTGAACGCGTATCGCCGAGCCCACTTTAATTCTACTGCAAAGTGTATTCAAGCTTCTGCGAGTATTATTTACGAAGAGCCGCTTGAATAATGGGGTCCCTCTACTGCTGACAGCTTGTGCTTAGCTGCATTGAAGAGGGAAGATGTGACAAAAAAATACAGAATTTCGCTAACGGAAAACGGTAATGATCACATTATTGCTTGAAGAGCAGCAGGCAGTTTGAACACAGGCACAATCTTTCGAATGTGGTCCACAACATGCCTGCAAGAGTCGAATAGACCCCGTAAACGAGAACCGTAAAACATATCTGGAGGGACGAGTTGCACACGGCCACAGTCAGTTGTCGAACAACTCCCTCGGAGACAATGGACAGTGTACATACACAAGTAATGCACACATGTACAATGTACATGAAAAATGTAGCGATCTCAGTACAGCAAGAAACACCGCCACACGGCTAAGCACTGCGCGGCGTGTCCCATTGTCCTTGAGTCACCCAACCCTGATTAATGTAGAGGGCTACAGAGTTCACGGCTCGCAACTGAACTAAGACGGACGTTTCATTAACGTGCACGCCTGACAATACATGTACATGTATAAAACGTATATGACCGATAATAAAGCTGAGAACAATTGCAAGGCTTGTAATGAGTGGGCCGAAAAACCGAGTCCTCATCCCGGTAGCGTATGCTGCGGTGGGATCGGTGCAATAAACTCGCCCGGATTAGAAAAAAATAATGAAGCTGTTCCCGCCTGGGAAATGGACACCACTTTGTCCGTTGTCGATGTGTTTCACATTTGATCCAACAGAGGTCATTGTTAGATGTGGAGCCCGTCCTGCGCTTGATTTGAAAAAAAAAATTATCGGGCGGAGGGGGCTCATCGGCGGAGGGTAATTTAAGTACCCGTGTAATGTCCCTCTGCAGCAAACGGAATTTCGTTTCCGCGATGTACAGCCATTGTAACCGGTCTGATTCTTCGTCATCATCGGATGAATCAGCCGAATGCGAAGGCCAAAATGACCCCGATGACTGAGAGCCGTCTGGAGGGGCTAGTTGTACAGAACCACGCGGTGGTGGCTGGGCAACACCCTCGGAGATAATAGACATACATCGTGCATAATACTATGCAGATGGTGAAGTCCCGTTCGCCGTAGGCCGGGCTTCCGGTATAGCGCGCAACCATGTGTGGTATACATGAACGTGTACATGTATGAACATGTGTTTTTTCTTTTTTGTACATGTACATGTACCTCATTGTGCTTGGCCACGCAATCGTGACCAATGAGTGACGACTATGAAGCATTCACTGCAGATAAAGACTCCAGGAGCAAGGCTAACTGTGTGCGGTATGTCCCTTTGTTCACGGAGACTGTAAGGCTAGACCAACAACCGAGGGTTGTGGGGCGTGGCTCGCCACTCCAGGGGGGCCACCATTAGGGCCCGTCTGGCGTCCTGCAGACATAGCCGATAGTGTAAGTAAAATCGACTGAAATGACTGTAGGAAAACAGACCTCGAGATCGAGTCCTCACGTCAGGAGCGTTTGCCCCGGTGGGACCGGTCAGAGGAACCTTCAGAATCTGAAGAAGAACGGCGTAATCGGCGATCAGTTTTCTTCTTCTTGCTATTCCTCTTTGAAGAACGGCCCCAGGATGTGTTTGACTACAAGTCAGAAGACACCTGGGGCACCGGGACCCCCGAACAACGGAAAAAATCCGATTATGAGAGTCGTTCCTCTGAGCGAGATAGCACGGGGCCATCGGTCCGGGATCCCCCCGGTCGACCGGCTCCGCATCGCTCATAATGTACCCGGCCGACAGCGCCTCAGGCCCCGTGGGCTGAGTGAGCGCTGGACGGACCGGTAGCCTGTTTAATAGCCCATCCCGACAACCAGTGGTGTTCGGCACTGTGTCGGGAGGACACGGGTGACTAGAGCCCACCGAAGTGTGACGGCTAGTCCCCTTGGGCTGCCCCGTGATCGGGGGAGGGCCAGGTGACACAGCGGTGCTCGTTGCCGAGCCACGCTTGCCCTGACGGCCCTTCTTAGGCTTTGCTCCGGCACAGGAGATATGTTTTGGAGGAACCTTGCCGGAGTGTGCCTTTAGTTTGGGTGTTCTGCCTGAGTTGACCGGAAAAGGTGACCGAGGTCCCCTTAACTGATCGGCGGAACTGCCAACTCCCCCAGCCGACTGTGGCTGAGGGTGCCGGACGAGAGACTGCTGCCGCGGTAATGTCGTAGCGTTAACGGCAGAGTCCCCCGAGAACTCGGTCCGTCCCGTGGGAGAGGAATTCCCCCCGGTTTGTGACAGATCGGTTCTCCCCAAACGCTGCAAAATAATCAAATAAATACAACCAAGAAGATGATGAGAAACTCTACAAACTGTTGTTTTATTAACTCTTTTATTATAAACTTCTCTTAAGCGCAAAAAAGGGTAGTAAATGACGAGGAAAACAGCGAGCTATTTTACACACGTCCTACCCGACCTGCCGCTAAGAGAAAAGAGGACGCTCACGAGGCACGCATGCCGCGGGGTATTATGGGTAGGGCGCCGGAGGGCGCTATTGTATATAACTCTTAGCGGAAAATACCTGCCGGTAGGGGGAATATGCATAAGTAGTATTGCTCTACAGGTAAGTAGAGTGTAGTAGACACAGTTGTTTGAGTTCAACTTTCTTTTGTACAGGAGTCAATGTTATTGTCCATAAATTTCTCCAGTACGGCATCATTGAGTTCGGGAAAAATTACACGAACTGTGAAATCATGCATCTCTCTTGGGCGATGCGTAGTAGACTGTCGCACGGGCAGTCTACTACGTGAATCCTTGCACGCGCATTTGGTGAACAGCAAGAATAATACCTGGCACATGATGGCGAATTGACCAATAAGACTTCGGCTCTCGATCATGAATATGTATGAGGTATAGTAAAGTAATCTACTACACAAGCTAATTTACCCTGTGCCTATGAATCCTCAAAGGCATGGTCGGTAAAAAAAAAAACTAGCAGCTGACATAGACCAGTAAAAATTTGGCTCTCCATTATGAATATGTATGAGGTATAAGTAGGCCCTAATAGATGTTACGGTATAATAACGACTAGGTTTCCTACATGTAGCTTGACATACACTGTAGTTATTTTATGATTAAATAAAAATAGAAGACTTTCCAATTCTTGAGCAAAACTCTTTTTAATAATCTTATACTCACTTCTGGAGCTCATCATTGAGTTTGAACGAGTAAGTGCACGAATTACTGCCTCTGCTTGTGTTGGTCCTAAGAGAGGATCCTTTTCGAACACTCGGAGAGCATCATATGCAATGCGTAATTTTCGGCACCTTCAGAAAGAACAGGAAAAGTTGTGTTATACAAACACAAATGCCCCGTCACAGTGACTGTTCGCATAAGAGGACAACACCCTTTGAACATAAGGTTTCCTTGGAGCTATCTGGGCCAAAATGAATCCCCCAAATCAAAGGTGATTTGTGAGTCCATGACGGGACAATACTTACCTGCTAAACTTTACAAGTGCATATTTCTCTAGCCTAAGGTTCCCAATCGCTAGCTTTTTAAACCACAGTAAATAGTGCCCTCAGTACCCGCATCAGTCTAGTACTCTCATCCTCTTTATCCCTAGGCAAGTACTCACAAATCACCTTTGATTTGGGGGGAGTCCACTTCTGGAACTTTCTTACCTGTTAAACCTTACATTTGCATAGATAAGCACCCGCTGTAGCAGGAGGGCTAAGAAAAGGTAGCCTTAAGTATTACTATTATTAGCACTGTCTGGATTAGATTGGAATGTCCCCTCATGTCTTCACCAAAATTGAAAGGTAGACATTGCCAAAGTATGTGGAAATGGAGTGCCAGTCGACTAGATGCTAGAGGCAGTTAATCTGTCCTGACAGTTAGTTGGGATGAGATGCCATGGCAGCCGAGAGGGCTACTTGTCCCGTTTAGCCTTCTGAACATAAAATGTCCTTCAGGTAGCAACAGACACAGGTTGATGGCATTTTCCAAGCAGCCACCTGTAAAACGTTTGGCAGGGGCCATATTCACAAAACTCAAATTTAAGTCACAAATCTAAGCACCCTGCTAACTTAAAGGGAATGTACATCATTGGCTTTTGCTGTAATTTTCAGAAATGAACTATTTGAGGGATTAATATAAGAGATAAAATATTGTTACACTGACATGTTTGAAGTTTTGTGTTCGAAAATACTGGAATCACCAAGAAAACAAAAATCCTTCAAGTAGTCTGGTTCCCTGACTCCACTAAAGATGAAATGGATCAATTTATAGATGCCGGAAAATTGTAAGGTAAGGGAACCAGTGTAGCTGGCCTGCACCCGTTCATGAACATTTAACCAATAGTAAACAAAACTTGGACTAAAAAATTGGTAAATTTGGAGCAGTTGTTGAAAAATTGTTGGGTTTTTCCAACGGTGGTCGGCTGACCACCGTTGGAAATTTGTACAATTTACCACTTTTCTTAAAAATGACTTCACACCAGGTGCCATAATTTTACAGGATGCTTTGGACTGCCATTTACCAACATCCTAGTAAGGTATTTCATAAAAATGTGGTAGTTTTGTTTTTCGATGTTTGCAAATGTTGTATATTCTCTTTAAGCTTAATTGGGATATTCACGAAAGATCTAAGCACCCCACTTATCTTAGTGCTCAACTTAACTTAAGTGTTCAAAGCAATCACTCTTGCTCATGCGCAAAACATTAAAGACATAAACGTTGCTATGCAGCAGCAGTTCAATCAGTGTGTGCATGTTTCCTTAACATAATCATGCGACGCAGTTTCCTAGCTGAAGTTTAGTGCATGGAAAATGTCTGCGTCACGCACGTGCACGTGTACGTCCAACGAGTTAGTCATGTACAGGGTTCTCCCCTGGATTTTTTCAAAACTGTGGGGGAAGTTTTGTTGTGATTCACCAACCTGTGAAGCCACGGCGTGGTAGGTCAAAAAAATTATTTCGCCAATTTTTTGGGCTGCTGATTGAATCATGGAGAAATAAAAACACATGATGGAATGGAGCATATTGAACAAGGAATCATGTAGTTTTGTGCCTGGATTATTTTCCTTTGTACCACGAAAATTATCAAGACTGACCATCAAAAGTGATTAAAACTTGCCTCACCTAATTAAAAATATATTTGAGGTGGTTGATTCCACTATATGCTTAACGTACATGTACATCACGGCCCCTCGCGCCATCAACATTCAGTCTGGCCGGCCGTACATCGCGCCTTGCACACGGCGCAGTTATCAGTGTGCATTACTGCACTGTGTACGGCCCATCCCACGTGGCCGAAAATTTTGCACTACTGCTTCTAAGAAGCACGCTACGATGTTTCGCCACAAGTTCGAGCTTTGCAATCTCGTCATTTTAATGGAAAATGCATGCACATAAAAATAAGATCACGTTCTGTGAATTAATTTGCAGAAATTCTCTTTCTCCATCGATGTTTGTTTGGTGTTTTTAGGATCCAACTTCAGCCAACATCATCATCATGTACATGTGCATGCACGCACGAGGCAGTAGTCGCTGGTTCCAGTCCTTCATCTTAGCATTGATACTGTTGCACGCGATGGGAACCAGTGTACCATGCTGTATGCGCTAATATATAGCTGGGTCCTGGCGGTAGACGCGAACAACCCATGCATCAGAAATACGGGATTTTTGTCCAGATTTTGCATGTCAAGATGAAAAAATGGCGTATGAAACGATTATGTTGTGCATTTTAATGGCTTGTATAATAATTATATTGTGCGTATCGGGGGCTGAAAAATGTGATCGGCATTTTTGTCGGCGTATCGGGCCGCAAGTCCAGCGTATCGGGCCAATACGCACGTTTGTACGTGGGGAGAACCCTGATGTAGTCAGGTGGCATACGGTCGGAATCGGTCCAAAGCACCAAACTTGCCAGATAGATTCTTATAGCCCTAAAGGGAATATTTAGAAGGTGTGACACCTGAAATTGTTTTGGGAAGGGTGCCTAATTTGCATAAAGCGTTAATCCCTGCCATGTAATATATTTGTTCCCATCTTTGGGTAGATGTTTATTTTTCATGCTGTGTAATATATTTGTTCCCATCTTTGGGTAGATATATATTTTTCATTTTTTGAAAAGTATATTTTGGGGATTTTACATACATACCCTTATTCTTAAGTAACATTTTCTAAAGAATATCGGAGACTTGAAGATTATCAGGACATAATAAAGATAAAAAATGGCTACCATTATACCCTAAAGTTGCGCGCATTTCCTTTTCCTCAGATATCATCACATAGTATTGCCAATACTCAGTATTGATGAGCTCCATTGCACGGTTTGACTGCTGCCAGTGGTGGCGCTGCGGAACATCTTTTAACTTGCATAAATTGGATATAAAAGTTCTGAACTTGTTGCACTGTTCAAGTTCTGAACTTGTGGAACAGCTTTTAAGTTGCCTTGCATAAATTGGTAATAAAAGTTCTGAATTGTTGAACTGTTTGAGTTCTACACTTGTGGAACAGTTTTAAATCAAGATGAAATGAATATGGTAGTTCTCAACCTGTTGAACAGTTTGCATAAATTGAATATGATAGCTCTGAACTTGTCGAACTTTTAAACAGTTGTTAACTTGAATAAATTGGCTATTAAAAGTCAACCAATCAGATGACGAGGATTTATTCAGGTGTTATATAAAACAAGTAATGAATGTTTCACGTTCGTGCAATGGAAAGAATAATTTCATTCGGTGACAGATGAAATGTCCCATTCCACTCGGCTTCGCCTCGTGGAATGGAACATTTCATCTGTCACCTCATGAAATCATTCTAACCATTGCACTCACAAACATTCATTATTTGTATAATATTGTTCAACATCCCCTATTGAATGCATAAACAAATTCATGTACACACGGAAGTATAAGGCAAACACAGTACGCCCCTTCAGCAGCTTCGCTGGTGGGGCATAAAAAGCTGTGATCATTACAAATATTTGCCATAGTACAGATGTGTATATTATTTTCCATCATAAGCAGAGAAAGGTAATATATATGAAAAAAAAAATGAAACAGAACACAAAAAAAGCCCACAAAATATGCCATTCATAACCCACTAAGAGGGGGTGGTGGGTGGGGGGGGGAGGGTGTTCAAACCATACTTTTAATTGGGGCGCTGTTCAAATTCGACGATTATTAACACTTTATCACAGAATAGCGGGGGGAGGGTGGTTTCAATTTTTTCACGAATTTTTATGGGGAAAAAAAGCTGTTTTTTTTCCGGTTATTTTGGTGGGAGGGGTCATTTAGATATGATGACATCATCGAATGTTTGTTTACAACTTGAAAAACCAGTTTAGTTGACACAAATATATATGACAAACCTTGCTTTCAGCTGCAAATTTTTCTCTGTGACATGATCTTTTGCTTTGGTCTTAGTAGACAGCTGCATTTTCAATTTATCTTTTTGTTCTCTTGTTGCGTAACAATTCTTTTTAGACTGATGAAGGTCCTTAAATTGCTGGGCAAAGCTGGAACTGAGTTTGTACAGATGTGCAACATCAATCGATTCCCCAATCATTAATCCTGTTGAGAAAGCAAAAACAAAAAATATCATAATTGCATCTTCAGAGAAAAAGATGAGAATCAATTTATTATTGAGATGGTTTCAAACATCATTGTTGATGTCTGAAATAGAATTCAGCCTATTCATGTACATGTCCTATCAGTTTTGAACATGACATAAAATGCAATACAAAAATGCTGAAACAGCCATGTGCTTGTCCATGAACATAAATCTAGTTTTTAATTTCAACTGTTAAATCCAGAGATGAAACTGGCAGTTTCAAGGCAAAAATGTTTGAAAATAGGCTGGGGTGCAAGGCAGTCATCTAACCTACACTTGGTGTTATCGTCCATTTCTTCTGAAACCTCAGAAAATAATGCAATATGTGGAAGCATGGGAAACTATAATTTCAAATACGTTATGGGTTAGTGCTTAAACTAATTTCAAGCCATAACCTACCGTGCCATACTAAGATCTTTCTTATGTGTTCCTACCATACAAACTGTGTATTGACGACTGGTATATGCTTGTAGTACATAACGGTATCTGCTGTTTTTATCAAATTTGTTGAATTTTTTTAATTGGATCTTCCACGGAAAAATATGACCTTTGGAAAGAATTTTAAAAGTCGGAATCCTGATTAAAATCGAAAAAATTTCATCTATGTTGTAAAAAATTCCCTCCTACTAGTAAGGCAAAGAAAGCAATAACAACTTCTGCTTCCGATTACATTGCATTTGAAAATAGAGTAGGTAGGGTTGGCCTAATAAGTAGTTAATTAATTAATGCACTGTGATAATTAAACAGTTACCAGGCAGAAGTCTTTTAGGTGTATCTGTCTTATTTGCCTCCACTGTCACCACTTTCTGCTGTGCATCTGGAAGATGACTTCCTTGCTTTTCCAGAATGTTCTTTTTTTCATGATTTAGCTGCTTGTTGTTGGACTCTATCACATGTAATCTGAAATAAAACACAATGCTATTTCATTTTAGATTTAAGAAGTCAAAATTCCTGCAGTCTACCGGTAAGTCTTGTATACGTACACTTGTACATGTAGTCCAGTAAGCAGTGAAATTTAAGTGCCCTACCCTGACATTTTAGTAAAAGCCAATTCCTTTTTACTCAAAAACCTTTCAATGGTTGCCATTAACAAACAGAAAAAAAATCCTCCATATTTTTCCTTTGGGGAAATATGTTGTTTAAGCTCAAAATATACCCATTCCTGCACCAGAAATATCCTTGACCCAATTTCTCATGCCCAAGTTGGAATAATGCTTTCCCAATACATAAGATTACACTTCAGCGGCCATCTTAGCCTCGTTCAGAAGTTGTGATCAAAACAGTACAGCCTCACGACAGAGAACATGCCAATGCAATGAACTCAGTTTTTTTTCACCACTTCCTGGACAGATTTCATGAAACAAGTGAGATCTAAAACGCGATTTTTATCCTGTATTTTGGTAAAATTCCTTGCATTTCGTGCAACAGTTTAGCAATGTGGCATTTTGTAAACAGTTCAAGCGATGTAAACAGTTCAAGTGTTGGTTTTTTTTTAAATCTGGAACCTGGCTTTGTTTTTGACACAATGTTTGCAGGTCTAGGGCCTATACATTAGCACAGCAGCTTAGCCAGCTTGACCAGTTGATTTGACTGATTCAAGAATGGTTAGAACAGAAAAGTAACAGATTTCAGTACTGAATGAACTACAGGACAAACTTGTGATCTTCTCCGATTTGATGGGAAATCACGTGCGAAGTTGATGTGATGTTCCAACTTGGTATGCTCCAACCTGACGGAATGAGCGTGGACTTAACTGCGTTTGTTCTACCAGACAACATGCCATAGTCCCCTGAAGAAGGTGGACTGCACCGAAAACTCGGGAGTAATTTTCCGTCGAGCACTGTAATAAATCTTTTACTTCCTGTCATACATATATCTTATAAAAGCCTTGCACTGGGCGACCACATAGGCTAAAAGTCTGACTGGGCAACCGCATAGATAAATTGGCCGAGAGGGAAGTCTTCATTACTTTGAAGGACCACAAGGAAAACTTCAATAACAAATCATCACGTCGACTAATCAGCCCAACAAAATCAGAGATAGGACATATAAGTAAGGTGATCCTCCACAGAATTGTCGGTACAGTCATAAACGCGACGGAATTCAACCTGTGGAAAAGCACTGAGGCCATACTGGACTGGCACAAGAAAATCCTAAACAAGCAAGAATCGAGCTTCAAAAATTTCGACATTGTGGAGTTCTACCCCTCAATAACAGAAAAGCTTCTCCTGAAGGCCCTTGAGTTTGCAGAAAACATTAGCAACAAAGAGAAAGATATTATTGTAGTGAAATGATCGTTTTTGTCAGGCCATGTATTTTTCCTTATTGCGATCATTAGAGGGCGTCAGATAAGACCTATTAAAAGTAACCGCATCTGGGCAGACCCGCCGAGGTCACCAGGGTCATACGCAAGATAATAAATGATGACAATGTATACATTTGAGGCGCGGGAAAAGAGTACGTGAAAGGAAAAATGAGTTGCATGATAATATGTGGAGACACAAGTTTAGGCATGATTTTCGGTAGACAGTGGAACTTTGAATGGAGGTGAAAGCAGAATAAATCGGCTCAACAAGTAAATCAGATGAGAAGAGTCTGTGTGTATGTTTTCGTTCCAGTTTTGTTAGGGTGTAGGCATGCTGCTGTGATGCCAGGGGACAACGGAGGCGTGAAGCTTCGAAACTCGCTTGGTCTGGGCCTACTGTGGTGTGGGGAGCTCGAGAGGGCAACAGTCAAGTCTGCTACACCTGTATGGAGTGACGGTTCAACGCTGTGGTGGATGAACTGGTGTAGGCCTACATGGACTTCATGCAAGGACAGCACATCGAGGATTGACAAGTTTTCGGCCTGGATCGACTGGTGAAACAGCTCATGGTATTGTAACTTAGGCAGGACTGACTAATGAACTCCCACTTTTAATTGTATTTTGAACAGTAGGCTACAATTTCATTAAGGTTTGCATTGAAAAAAATACCCAGTTGTTATATATTGTCGAGGTGTGTTTGATGTCAGCTGCCTAATACATGTAGTTTGCTCATTATCTCATTTACCTGTACACATGCAGCAGTGTGTCCCAAATTATGAATGTTTGATTGGGAGTGCTTGAGGCTTTTTTGGCACTTAAACAAATATTATGGCTAACTCAGAAATAGATTTTATAACCAAGTTGGTGACAGGGCTGACAAATGCCCAAAAGTAGGATAAGCCTCGGGCTATATCACAGCGCCCAATCAAGCTTTCAAAGTTTGTGGGTAAACCAACAAGGGCAGGGGACCCCACTATAATAGAATGGTTAAATGAAGTAGATGTGTACATTCAGCAATGCAGTATCCCGGAGGATGAGCAAGGGAGGAGATTAAGTGCCATGGGGATTAAATTAAAAACAATATTGCTTCCCTAACGAAACTGCTTAAGAGGAGTTTTGGTGCGGACGAGACTGTTCAGTTTCTTCAAAAAGCCCTGTATGAGCACATCCAAAGGGAGGAAGAGTCACCGATGGATTTTTCTAGATCGCTTATGCGACTCCATGACCGAATCCTTAAAGTCGCGACAGGGTATTAATCAGCCAGTTTGTCGCTGGTGCTAGAATTGAATCCGTTAGGCTGGAGCTGCGCAGGCTTGAGTTAGCCAATCCTTCCCAAAGTTTCAGTGAGATGCGCAATGCAGCATGGGAACTTTTCTGTGATATGGAAGGGGGGTCACCTCCAAACAGGGTCAAGTGTATCAGGTGTCAGCTGAAGGTGTATCACCTGAAGATAGTACACAGGGGGTCAAGGTCAATTAATTTTCAGTTAGTTGGGGTAATGGCCAGTTGCAGCAGGTGTTAGCACAACAGCTGTTGCGATGTCTCCAGTCACAACAGGGTATGTTGTTAAAGCAACAGGAAAAGTTGGATACATTGTTGAAACGTGTACATGTAGGGCAAGATGCGAAAATTCCATGGGTATCGGATACTGCCGGGAACAGACCACCTGTGGTTTGTTTTTACTGTAAACAACCACGGCATATCAAGGCTCATTGCAAGCGCAGAATAGCTAAGGAGGTAGCGACAACAGCTCAGCCATCACGCAAACAAGAGCTACATGTAAGTAGTAATGTGCAGGGTAAAGTAGTAGGGGAGGGGCTAAACCCCCACGCTCCACTGTAGGCCGAGTGGTGGAGGACAAGGTCAAAAAGGCATCACAAAAAGGAGATTCCCAATGTGGAAGGATGCAGTCAGAGTCTTCCATTGATGAGGTGCTCTCTAAGTTGGTACGAGAAAGCCCAAAGGCTTGTGTGACTTTGGCAGGTGTCAAAACCACATGTGTACTTGACACCGGAGCAGAGGCATCTCAAATTTCTGCATCTTTCTACAGGGAGAATCTAGCTAAAAAGATGGTCGGGTTGAAACAGATAGGAAGGCATTTGCTGGTATTCGGAGCAAGTTGCATTGAACCACCAATTGAGGGGTATGTTAAAGTTCCTTTGAGTATTTACAACTACACAGTTGTAGGCCATTTTTTAGCAGTGAAGGATTCTGTGGAGGCTGACCCAAAACATAGACCTTGTCCAGTGTTGCTTGGATGCAACGTACTGCACTTACTGAAAGATCTTACTATAGAACCTAAGCATGAAGATGCTAGTGCATGGTCATTGGCATTACAATGGTATGGGCTTTCAAGGGGATTGGACCAAACTAAAACTGAAAATATAGTCAAGGAGACATCTGGCAAGGGACCAGTTGCTGCGCGTACAGGCAGAAACCCAACCATGATATTGCCAAGAGAGGTGCGCAACATACCATGTTACTTAAGAGCACCGACTGGCACCTTAGAAGGGTGTACGGTTTTGGTTGAGGGTCTGCCTGGCGTGAACGAAATAGGGTTCAGTAGTAGTACAGGGGAACAATCTGACTCTGGTACATGTACTTTGGGTGCCAACTTTAAGGTTTATGATTCATGTGAGATAACCAGGGGTAGAATGGTCCATGTGTTGGTGGTCAATGTGTTGGTGGCAAATGTGGGAGCCCATGTACTTGAAATACCCTCACACTTTAAACTTGCCAGCATCACAAAGATCGCAACCAGGCCCAATGTTGAACATAAGGAAGGGTCAGATGGGATTCATGTTTCAGTGAGTAATATCCTTTGTGAATCTTTGGGTATCAGGAGTTGGCCCAGACTGATTTAGGCAAACCTGTGGACCATGATGTTGAAAAAAGTGATGGGGAGTCATTGCCGAAAGGCAAGTTGTACATTTTCGAGGATGGTTCGGAGTAGTTACCCATTGGGTTAAGTCTTGACTTGGGTATAGAATAGAGCAGAGAGGATCGGGATCAAATAGTGCATTTGATGAAACATGACTCAGTGTTTTCAAAAGATCCACTGGACCTTGGGTTTTGTGACCAAGTCCCTCACAAATTTCGGACAACCGATGACCATCTGATTAACCAACTGTATCGGCGTATCCCTCCACACCACTTAAAGAAGTTAGGGAGTTAATTGAAAAATTCCTGGACCAGGGCATTGTGCAAAAGAGTAGTAGTCCATATGCGAGCCCTATAGTGCTTGTACAAAAGAACGATGGGTCCTTAAGGATTTGTGTCGATTACAGGCCGCTGAATGCCAAAACGGTGCGTGACTCCTTTCCTTTGCCTCAATTGAGGAGTCACTGGAGGCACTCCGGGGGGCTAAGTATTTTTTATCTTTGAATCTTGCACATCATCGGATGGCGATGGGCCCTGACTTTGTCAATAAAACTGCGTTTCGGGTCCCCTTTGGCTTGTACGAATACCACAGAATGCCTTTCGGGCTAGTAAATGCACCAAGAACCTTTCAGAGGGTCATGGAGATGTGTCTCGGGAACATGAACCAGTGTGAGTTACTGATTTATCTTGATGATATTTTGGTATTTTCGTCTAC